TCTTAATTTCAGTAGATGATTTCTTTAAATTTAATGTAACAACAAATTTCTTCAATGCTCTTATGCTTCTTAACAAAACATTTGTCAATATTTGTCATTCTTATCTATGTTACAATTGAATTTGATAAATGAATATTGAAGATTAATTTGTGACAACTAATTTTCCAACAAATCAAAATTAAATGCACAAAATTGTAATTCTCACAAATTCAATCGCAACTTCCATCAAGCAATAAAAATACTTACGGCGACATAATGCTTGCAAGTATATCTGTCGATTTCTCATTGCCGTTGGCGCACGCGACGCGAATGAAAATCCATGGCGCGTACGGGAAAAGAGAGAGAGAGAGAGAGAGAGAGAGAGAGAGAGAGAGAGAGACACTTTTACCGATGAGTTCACCCCATTTAGCATCGCACGCGCGCACAGTGTTCGCAGTCGAGCGAGCAGAATTGAAGATCTGCTTTTCTAACGGATGCTCTCGCTGATAAGATCATTTTTGATGAGTATTCACATTCTTTTATATTTCAATGCTAAGATTTTAAGTTGAAGGTGTTGGGAATTATAATCGTATTTTATTCTTCTTTTTTACGATAAAGGTTTGTTTCATTGATTTTATTTGAGGCGTGCATGAACTAAATTTTCTAATTTGCAGAATATTTTAATTTATTTTAAAGTCATTTTTTCTTGTCGAAATAAGAAAAAAAATTTATTATTTTGTTCTTTTGTCAAATGTGAGAGTTTAAAATGTTCACTTATATTCTTTTAAACTAAGTACGACGCATTACAAATGTAGCACAAGACATCTATTTCATAGAATATTGTCTGACCAAAATTGTTGTTAACCACTTAAAATTCATGACATGCCTATCACAAGTAATCAAGTAAAGGAATTGGTTCTTTATTCTTCACGAATAAAGAGCCGATATTCACATCACTTTATCGATCCGAAAAGCTTTTTTATTCCCAATGGCATGCAATAAACTAACAATTACTCACATTACATCAAACCTTCTCATACCCACCTTTTTACCAAAAAGAAAATCTACAAATCCTCGTGAAATAAAAAAATACAAATCATGCAATAAAATTATCAAACGCAGTCTATTTACAGCTCAATAAACCACGAAAAAAAGAGTTCCAGCAAACATTACGTCGTTCAATTCCTACAAGCGCGCAATAAACCAATCATCGTTCGCATCGCGTCAAACCTTTTCACACTGCACGAGTGCAGCACAATTTTATTTTGTAGGAATGAAATTGTGCAGAAAACGACTGAACATTGTTATCGCAGCAGCGAATCGAAAAAAAATATTGCAGCATAAAAAAAAAAAACTTTGAACTCATCTCCACCTTGAAAGATATCTCAAGTAAGTCAAAAAGGTCGCCGGTAAAAAAAATTTAATCTAACAACAGCAGAAGGAAAAGAGAGTGAGGTGCTCATCCACGGCAATTGGATAAGCCAAAAGAGACAGGACGCGGTAGCCGGTCAAGTGTGAAAGACTCTGGCAAGGGTAGAGAAAAAGGCAGTAGTGTAGTTCTTGCTGCTACCTTCCCCCGCAACAGGTGTCGACTCCTTCTCTCTCTTTCTTTCTCTCGCAAGCTTTGTCTTTATCTTTCTACGCGACGGTATCTTTCTCTTTCGGAATACATACACACACACCCACACAATTTGATAGAAGAGCTTATCACGACTTTTTTCCGTATAATATTTCTCGGTGAACTTTTTCCTCTTTATTACGTGAGTTATCAAGAGTCGAGTGTTGTATTTAAAAAAAAAACAATGGCAAAGTTATTTTATGGATAAAAGCGTCGCCATAAGTAAAGAGAGCCGAGCATTAGAATTTCAAAATCAATTATAAAAAATATAATTGTTGCTCAATATCCAGAATTTAAACCCTGCGACAAAATCACACTCGCAACAGAATACGCATTAACTTATTCAAGCAAGTCGGGCGCGCTCGCGGCAAATTGAATTTACCGTAGAGAGAGTGTGAGAGAGAGAGAGAGTAAGTTTTCGCGCGCACGGGGTCGCTATATGCGGATGTGCATCTTCCGGCAGCTGCACGACGTCTTCATGAGAGGCACGCCGCGGCTGTAAATACGTCGGCCCCCGTTTGTGCGCGCGCCGGCTGCTGCTAACGTCCGGCGAGTGTACGGCGCGCGTATCTGCTGCTACTTCTTCTTCTACTTCGTTCTCGAGACGCGCCATGCTGCCCTGTTTATTTCGAGTTGGGACGGTTTTTTCCTTCTTTTGGTTTGTCGAGGATTTATAACAATGTTTTCACTATTGGTAAACTACACAATGAAAGTATTATGCATTATCCAACAAGGAGAATTTCTTGTTTTAAGTAAAGTTATTTCTTAAAATTTCAAGTAAAACTGTTTATTTTCATTTGAGAAGAAATTTCTTTAAACAGCAATGTTTCTCCTGAAAATAACAAAATTTATTTTAAAGTTTCTTAATTTTCGTAACAAAGTTTTTCGCAGTGTATAAGACGGAATTTTAATGTTAATAATTTTGTTCTTAGTATAATCGAACAAGTAATTTTCAGTAAAGTTCGAAGTGCATTTCACTTTTGATATTCGTGCTGAGCTTGAAAAAGTTTAAAGACTTAATTAAAAATGCCTTCTCTGATGTAAAATCACAAGTATCTTAGTATCTTATTTCGTAATTGAAAAGTATTCGTATTAGAATAACATTAATTACAAATAATTAATAAAAATCTCAATAAAAAATATGAATTTTGTTATCTAATTTAAAATCGCAAATCAAATTAAAATTATGATCGTGGTCTTCCAACTCTTAACTAATTCGGTAGATGACGGCTTGAAAAATGTAAATTCTGAAAAATAGCTTCAAAATTTTATACTTGATCGATCTATATACAATATTTTTTCCTACTTATACGATTAAACAACTGATAACTGTTTTTAAGCAATCGGTCTATTGTTAAGTACGTGTTTACTTTGTAATGTATTGTCTGACTTAACACTGTAGTGACTGCTTAAAATTGATAACATAAGTTTGGCGAGTAAATAGATAACTGTGTGCACACAGACTCGCGTAAGTCAGCAGGAACCTATATTGATTGACTTTGAAAGAAGTATGATGCATTGAAAATTTAACTAATCTTCAAAATTGTTTATTACTAAAAATGTAATAAAGTCAATGAAGCGATTTTTCTTACAAATAAATTCCTGAATTCTCATAGCACTATTCATCAATGTGGGCAGATATATCCAAAAAATAATCCCATTCCACACAGAACTTTCCAATCGAACTATTCGAAAAAAACAATCAATCCGCCCTGCAACGCAAAAAATAGAACACACATACGAACAGCAAAGGACGCAAAGCGTCATGTGAGCGGACAATGCGCCACTTCCGACCGATTAGGTTTGAGCTTGCGGATATGTCGAGGAGGGTGCAGCTCCATTTGTCCCATGTTCGACACGAAGCGAACATTCGCGGTTGTATCGGAGATGTTTTTCGGCTTTGCAACTGATGTTACCGAGTCTGAGGTCAATCATGTGAAAGCAAAGTTCAACTTAGCTTTAATTCTCTTAAATATTTTCATCTGACTCTGAACAAAGCAAACGAAGTATATATATCAAATTCGTAGAAAGCGAATTAGCCAGTGAAAATCCATCGCAACTGTATAACGGGAAACTGTAACTGGACGTCCACCGACACGTGAATCCTGCATTAGCCTCGAGTAGTGTGTGTACTATCTCAAAGAGGATTAAAACTCTCTCACCTTATTTACATTATGGCGTAACCCGAGTGAGATGGACTCATCGTCCTCCTCGTAATCCTCAATTAACTAATGGCAAGTCCCGTGTAACTCTTTAATTTGTTTAATTAAACACGAAACCAACGAATAACTAGAATCTACTGTATTTAGTTTAAAGAAAATAGGCAAATTCTTTTCTTTTCACTTTGACGTTTGTATATATCAATGCAAGATGTCTTATAATCTCAGAGTTTTCTGCTCAATGGTATATTGAGAAAAAACTTTCGATGTCGTCAATTTTCGCGCTTCGAAAGCTTTTGCAATCTTCTTCTATTTCTGCGTTGCGGCTGTATTGATTTTCATTCTACGCGAGTCTTTCTTACGTTTTTTTGTTTGCACATCTGATTAAAAATTTTGTTGTGCGAATGCATGCTACAAAATAAATTACTTAAAAAAAGTTACTAAAAGAAAATTACAGGAAAACAATTCGTGTTTTGGGGGTTTAGACTAATTTTAGAAAAGATTATGCTTAATAATTCAAAATTTCTTAATATAAAAATTGTTTTGTAGTGTAATCATAGTAGTTCTTAATTTAGAAACTTAACAAGCCAAAGATTCTAATTTTGAAGAAATTTGAATTTTACAAAAAAATATTTCTTAAAATTTATAGTAACAACAATTCTTTTCTGTGAATAAATTCATAATTCAAGATGTTTTTCAAATTAAAAAAACTTACGTCTCTACTTTTCATAAATTTGAATAGCAATCTTCTGAAAACAAGAATTTCTACTAAAAATTAAATATACGTTTTTTTTTAAGAAAATATGTTTTCTTACATATAAGCATTAAATATTCAAGACCATAGATGGAATATAACCAATTAACTATATAAGCCATTTGATTTATTTTGAATTGAGTTAATCAGATTACATTATAATTTTAGTATTATTGTAGTAACAGCTATAATAAGATTTAATCCTAATGCAAATAGAGTGCATAAAATATTCACTTCGTAATATCCAAATGATTTGTAATCACTGGACACACTCAAAGTTACATAGTAGCTGCAAATAACCCGAATGCATTTGCATTAAGAATTTGAACAAATAAAAAACATTACAAATAGCCTGTTCGGCATTTATCTCGTAAAATCGAGGTTAATGCATTAGTGCAATTATAAAAAAGCAATAATGGATGAGCTCTGGCGTAAATAATTTTCCAGTAAATGCAGCTAAAGAGACTTTTTGTCTTTTTCCTTGTTACAGACTGGCAACGATTATAAGTCGACGGAGAATTCGCCTCACACGGATAACAAAATAAGGTAGGTGTGTGTAGACATGATTGATCGCACATAGAAACTATGCACATATATAGCAAAAGATTCGGGTAATCGGATATTAGGTTTCAATTGCAAACTTGCACACACGCGCGGATCAAGATAGATACGGAATTATCATCGCGCGATTTCCGGCCGTTTTCACTATGTATATTTGCTTCCCTTCCCTCTTCTATAAACTTACCGGCGCTGATTGCTTTATTACGATCTAACAAACTGCACCTCAAACTCTAGTTTCATGCTCGTATTTTGTATGTGTGTGTTCCGAGCAATTTATTTTTTTTTTTTAACGTTTCGCTAGCACGCTTTTTCGAGAAGTGATTCCAGCGTTCTATTTTCTGGAATGAAACGTGACTTGGGTTGTTGAAATGTCAAAAAAAACGAGTATGAGTTGCGCATACGTAATTCATGGAAAAGAAGACCAGTTATTATAACTATATTATCAGATTGAAATCTATCCATGCGCTGACAGCTTCTCATATCGATCGAATTGAATTTGCATCACAAAGAGAAAAAAAATAGTGCTGTCACGACGAATTGAAAAACTTTCAAGCCAATCGATATATATCGCATTAGTTTCGCTAATTTCCTTCACACACTTACCCTCTAGCCACTAGCGTCTGAATAACAGTAGAACTTGCAACGTAATACCGCTTATCGGCTTCGGAAGCCTCTTAATCGGCAAATTTTTTTTGTGTGTGTCACACACTCGTGATGCATCGCTTTGGCCTCTTTTGGAACCTTTAATGGTCTTCCTGAATTTTCTTTTCTTTTTTTTTTTTAAATCCATCGTTATTTAAGAGCATTTGTACGTATATCCTCGACTTGAACGATGATCTACTAGGTAATGCTGACTTGTAGGTTCATTTGAAAACGTCATCTTGCTCCGCCCCTACTTTTTTTCTCTTATTCTTGTGATGGAACGCCAATGCTTTTTCATGCAAACGACGCTGTGTGAATTATCTTCTCTGTGATATATATACTGAAAAATGATCGAATTTGTTTTTCGTTGTTTGAAAACAATGATTAAGTAAATATACGTTCGAGAAACATTGATTTTATTAATGTGATATATAGAACATTGTATTTTTTACTGACTGATATTGTTCAATATCGTTAATATTATCCAATAGTGATAAATATTTATACTTGATTTATAGAACTTTTTGACGAACTCGTTTGTATTATAAAAATTATCGTAAAGCTAACGTGCATCAAGTTAACAGTCAAAGAAATGCTGCATCAGTTTAGTATGATCCTTAGTTTTGTAATATGCTAAGTAAATATGAAGCAGCATAAAAAAATTCGTTGACACTCATGTCAGGTCTGTTTTCCTTCTGTTATATTTTGTATTATATATGAATTGAATAGTTTAGTTGAGAAACTCGATTATGCTCGAACATCGTAATTAATATTTAATGAATTGTATTGGGTTTCACGTGATAGACAATGTATAATGAAATACATTTTAATTATTTTGCAAATCCAAAAGAACAAAGCTTATAAATTAAAATAATTCCTGCCTCGATAATAAGATTAAATGATTGTATAGAAGGTGTCGAGATAGAAACGGGGTTTGCTTAATTCCCATCGAGAGAAAAGGATTTTCTTCGATTTTCATTAGCGAATAATCCTATTCGGTAGTCGAACTCCCTGTATCCCCTCTTGCTCTGGCTGCTCGTTAACAAGTTCGTATAACGCCTTTGTTTTCGCTATCAATAGCAATGCTATAAATTCAATATGTCACGATTCGCCGTGTGTGTATTGTTCGACGGTTTATTGACTTTACGTGTGAGCGATAACGGCAATGATTATGTCCGAGAAGGGAAGGAAATTTCTTTTGTCTTACTTTCCCGCAGCTGTTGAAAAGCCTTGAGATAAAAATCAATTGCTCCACTCACCTCCCCCGTGGGCATGAATATACCTCTTATTATAATAATCCCCCAAAGCTCTCAGGAAAAAAGTCGTCTGAGAAATCATTACGCGCGTCGTCGCCATCCATTTTCCAAGCGTCGTGTAGGTCTCTCGCTCCGGCGAAGTATGAAGAAGCTGCGCGACACTATATATACAGCGGAGCTTCTTCGTCGTTGTCGTCGTCGTCGTCGCGATTAATACCGCCACCACAACGATTGCGACACTTTACGCACCCCTGCCTTTTTTCATTTTCGGCGGTGCGCATTCCATTTTTTTCTGTACCAACTTTCTCTCGTTCTCTCTCTCTCTCTCTCTCTCTCTCTCTCTCTCTCTCTCTCTCTCTCTCTCTCTCTCTCTCTCTCTCTGTCTCGCCGATATTAGTTTTTTTTTCCGACTATGTTTTTCTCTTTTTCTTGTCGATCAAAAAAGAAGAAGAATTTATCGGTTTGCGTGCAATAAAGTCTTGATTAATCCAAGTTCCTTTTTGTAATTCTCAGCCTTTAGATCGAGTTTAAACGAACACTGCTTTTGTGTCGAAATACCGGAGTTTGTTGTACGAATATCATCTATCTAAAATAAGTGCGTGGCTGTATGCAACAATCTAATCTAAGTTTGAAAGCAATAATGAGCAACGATGATCATCATCAATATTGTCGAAAATGTAGATGTAATACGTTAACCTGATAATCTCTCTCTCGTGTCATTAATCACTCATCTCGTCGGTACGCGCATATCATCGTCAATATACGTACACGCCGACAGCGTCAACGTCGATTATCTGCCTTTGACTCGAACTGGCGCAGAGAGGCAAATGCAGCGCGGTTGATTTTTGATTAACCGCGTGGCGCTGCGTTTCATTTTTGCTTCTCACCAATCGCCATCGCGCATCCATCACTCATCTCGCAACAACAAGGAACGAAAAGCAAGCAAGCGCGGTGCTAATCAAGCGTGAAAGGTTCGAAAACAAAAGACGCGCGCCAAACAATGGACCACATGCGCGCAAAAAAGAAGAAGAGAGTATGCCCTAAAAGCCCTCCCGCAAACACCAAATCACGACGGACACACACCGAGCGGGGCTGGCGTGTTAACGTTCAATTCGCTAGAATGAATTTTCAGCTACGCGAGCGCGCGGCTTGTAATGCTCACTGGCGATAACGTTTGCATTTGGCATACGACGTTATGTTTGTCAGTACTCTTTTATTCGTGGTTTATTGAGCTGCGCAAATGGACCCCTTTTGATAATATTTTCGGTGGTCTCTTTTATTTGAAAATATTTTTTTGAGATGGGAGCGGAGCAAGTATGCAAAGGTCAGAAGTAATATAAGCAGTGATTCGTTTGTTGTGATTTGTTGTATTTTTTTTTTAACTGCAAAAGCTCTGTGAGTTCACAAAGTGATGTGAATATTAGTGGAATGTACTGTTATTTATTCATGTGTGAATTGCATGTTATGTATTTTGAGTAGTCAATATCGATTTCAGTCAACCAGTACACTGCACACAAAAAGTTATTTACTTTCTGCAGAATTAATTATTAATGCTCTTAGTTTGAGATCACAAGAATGAAAAATACCTTATCTAAGGAAAATGAGTTAAATTAATAAGAACTTATTTGAGTTTAAGAATTTATGCTTTGAATGAGTATAGTTTTCTTAAAATAATTCAGAATAATATTTTTCGTTCAAGAACATTTTGGTAAATGTATAAAAAATGTAAGAAATATTTCAAATATAGAAAAAAACAAATTTAAATATTAAGAACATGAAGTTAAACCTAAAGTACGCATTTCTTATTTTAAAAAACAAATTGTTATCTTGAGAATTTTTTTCGCTTGGGAATCCATCGTCTATTGCATTAATTAAATAAAGATTAAGGGTGAAATTAACCCACAAATCGTCGGCAATAAAATCAATTCCCGCAAAGAAAGAAAAGAAGAGGAAAAAATATATAATCCCAGAGAGCTTTCGAGTTACCGGTATCGTTCAAAAGCTACTACGAAGGCTGGGGAAAATAAAACGTCGCAGCATAGAGAAAGAGAGAAAAAGAGAGTCTGGGTGTAGGGCGAGAAAGGATATTCCATTCGGCGGATATAAACGGTCGTGTCTCAATGGCGAACGGGCAATAAATCCGAGTGCGCTCCATCAACTGCGTCCCATTCGTTTCTCCTTACATCGCGCGCGCAAGCACGACTTTGATTCTCTCCCAGAAAGACGATTCGATTGCTTTATGTGTGAGGCGCTGCTGAGTTTGTTTTATTTTGCTAAATGTTAGTTTAGTCAAACTATCGATTCTTATCTTGCGATGATAGCCAATGAGGAAGTACTCCATCAAGTCAATTAAAATAGTATATGACCATCCCGGTATTCATCCGAAATAACATTCAATCGCCATTGTTTTCTGTAATGAAAAATCTAAAACTCCGGTGTATGCCATTCATCTCTGCGTACATTGTTTTTCGACATACAAAACCAACAATCTCAATATATCAATCCTCTCTCGCAAAAATATTCATTGCTCGCGTAATCATTGATTTTTTTCTTTGCTTCAGCCCTAAAATTAGTATCTGCCCACGATGAAAATCTGCTGGCTGATTTTCTCCGCGCAATATCTCAACAGAGAGGAAAAAAGAAAGAGGCAGTAGCATTATCTTCGAGATTTCAATATGATATCGCGGATTCTCAAGCCCGAGATATTGTGAGTTGTACAACGTGTATTGTGTATACACCCGACGGGAGGGGGAAAGTAGAGGCGCCGCCTAACCGATTTCCAATTTTCCGATATTTACGACGCTGCGCTTTTTCTTTCTCTCTCATTTTTTTCTACTCCGTAATGTGAGCATCTTTTTCTTCTCCCTCGACGGCTACAGCAGCGCGCGTAATTATGGTTTAAGAATAGCGCGCGTGTTGGATTACGCGTTGCCGTATCGTTAATGAGGCAATTTTAAATGCATTCCGCGGGCGAATGTAATTGCCCGCGGATAATATTTCTTGTTTTTTTCTTTTTCTTTCTATACAATTTATATGCTTTCTGGTGTTTAATCGCCTCCTTGTAATACATTTACACGAGAGAGGGAA